AGTTCCACTGGTTCATTGTTCTAACTTGTCAGGAAGTTTCTCCTAGGCTGCCAGTTTTCAACTCGGGTGGGGGGTGGGTGGGAATAATATGAGTTTTTGTTTTCCGTCCCCTTAATTCACTTTTTTTTTTTAAAAAAAAATGTTCTCGCCTCGGTTATTTATTTTCCCCCCTTTGGATTTTGTAATTTTAAATTTAAAAAAATGGAAAAATATACATACCTGCCCTTTTCCCTTGCCTTAATTAGGGCCTGGCTGATCATGCGGTCTCTCTCGTTCATTAAGCCGGTGTGAAGTTTTGCGATTTGCCTGCACACAAAATTGAAGGCGTTCAGAGGCCAACACGACAGTTGGGGAGATTTTGAGACAAGGCACAGAGAGAGAGAGATAGAGACAGAATTCCAGCACTGGGGAATTTAAAAGAGAGGTATCCCCTGTCTTCTCTCCACCTCCCACCACCCTGTGGAAATTCCCCTCGGGATGAAGAAGACACCAACTCAACCAATTCCTGGCAACTCAACCCAGCTGTGCCTTCTCTTCCAAAATCTCCAGTTTCTTCCCAGCTCCTTCACTTACAATCATTCATATACAAGGAATGGTTGCTGGAATTGGGAAGGTCTAGTTTAATGAAGAGAAGGACGAGGGGGGACAGGATAGCAGTCTTCCAGTATCTCAGGGGCTGCCCCAGAGAAGAGGGAGTCAAGCTATCCTCCAAAGCGCCTGAAGGCAGGACAAGAAGTGACGGATGGAAACTAACCAAGGAGAGAAGCAACCTAGAATATAAGGAGAAATGGCCTAACAGTGAGAACAATTAATCAGTGGAACTGCTTGCCTCCAGAAGTTGTGGATGCTCCAACCCTGGAGGCTTTTAAGCAGAGACTGGATCTTGTCTGGAATGGCATAAGGTCTCCTACTGGCGCAGGGGGTTGGACTAGATGACCCCCCAAGGTCCTTCCCCACTCTGTTATTCTGTGATTTACTCTCCAGAGATGGAGGGGAGGAGGAGATGCTTTCTCCGCCCCTATTCCTGCTCTGGACTCAGTGTTCTCTTATCCCGATGGGCTGCCAGTCTTCCTTCTTCCGTCTCCCAAGGTCATCCGCACAACGAAGGGTGCAGCCTTGCTGGACGCTGACAGATGGCTTGAGGGAGCACTGGGTTGCCGGTGTGAACTGCACACACAGGCGGTGGTTGGGTTGAGAATTAGGCTCCTTGGGAAGGCTTTGTTCAGCAGGGGGCGCGTCGGGACCCCCCCCTCTCTCGCTGCCCACCTGCGCGTGGGATTCGAATCCGTACGTCTCTCCCCAGCTCCTTTTGAAGCATTCGTCCCTCCTTCGGGCTCAAGTGGCGTGCTTAATTGCCTGAGATGTGATTAAAGGCCGCTCCTGATTAATCTTCCCCTGGTCACAGCTGGCTAATGAGGCAAAGGATTAGAAGAAAGAACCAGACGGTGGGTAGCGAAGGTTGGCAAGCTGCCATGCCCGGGCTGAGACATTCAGCAAAAGGGGGGGGGTTGACAGTGGTGGAACAAACGCTGACGGAGCCTGTGAGGTCTCCAGGGGGGGCTTCAAAACACACTGAGCTGTCTCCTCAAAGCCATTTCGCCCTAGATCAACCACCCATGGCAACTTTAAGACCTGTGGACTTCAACTCCCAGAATTCCCCAGCCAGCACGTCACTTGTCCCCCCTTAATAATTCAGGGCAGGGGTGTCCAACGTGGTGAACTCAATCCTCAGCTAAGGATTTGAGCCCACAATAGGCTGCTGCAGCTGCTGTTAAGTTTCGGGGCCTTCGGCCTGCAAGGAAGAGCCAGAGCAGTAGCACTTAAGACTTATATACCGCTTCATAGCCCTCTCTAAGCGGTTTACAGGGTCAGCCTCTTACCCCCCCTCCCCGTCCCCAACAATCTGGGTCCTCATTTTACCGACCTCGGAAGGATGGAAGGCTGAGTCAACCTTGAGCCGGTCAGGATCGAACCGCTGGCTGTGGGCAGAGTTAGCCTGCAATATTGCATTCTAACCACTGGGAGGGAAGGAAGGAAGGAAGGAAGGAAGGAAGGAAGGAAGGAAGGAAGGAAGGAAGGAAGGAAGGAAGGAAGGAAGGAATGGAATGGGAAGGGAGGGAGGGAGGGAGGGAGGGAGGAAGGAAGGAAGGAAGGGCAATAACCCTTAGACTTATATACCGCTTCACAGTGCTTTACAGCCCTCTCTAAGCAGTTTACACAGTCAGC